TCGTCGTAAATCGCCGAGAGAGAAACTTGATATTCTCTGTCCTCCTCCGCCCCCTGCAGGACGGCCCCCTCACTCTGACCGTCCACAGACAACTGAGGAGACACCAGAACATCGTCATCATCTACACCACCTGCACCACCTGCACCACCACCTACACCACCTACACCACCACCACACCACTACACCACCACCTACCACCACCTACACCACCTGCACCACCACCAACACCACCTGCACCACCTGCACCACCACCTACACCACCTACACCACCACCTACACCACCTACACCACCACCTACACCACCTACACCACCACCTACCACCACCTACACACCACACCACTACACCACCACACACCACCTACACCACCTACACCACCACCTACACCGTCATCTACACCACCACCTACACCACCTACACCACCTACACCACCTACACCGTCATCTACACCATCTACACCATCATCTACACCACCTACACCACCTGCACCACCACCTACACCACCTACACCACCTACACCACCACCTACACCACTCTACACCACCACCTACACCGTCACCTACACCACCTACACCATCTACACCATCTACACCATCACCTACACCATCCACCACCTACACCACCTACACCACACCTACACCATCATCACACCATCTACACCACACTCATCTACACCATCTACTACACCACCTACACCACCTACACCACCTACACACCACTCATCTACACCATCATCTACACCACCTACACCACCACACCACACCATCATCTACACCATCTACACCATCTACACCATCCTACACCATCTACACCACTCTACACCATCATCTACACCATCATCCACCCTCCACCCCATCCTCCTCTGCATCTTTCTGTCGCTTCCTGCGTCATGACTAATATTAAAGCTTTTTGGTTCTTTTTCGTTCGAACATGAAACGTTCTGCTTCTGATCTCGTCTCTGGATTTTTTTTTTGGAGGAGGTGCCGCTGAGTCGCACCGTGAGCTCGCCTCTCCACAGACCTGAACCGTCACCGCAGCCTCACGGCTCCTCCTCCTCCTCCTCCTCCTCAGATGAACCAAAGAGACGAGAGAGAGAACAGGATAAACGAATGTCTCCAGGGACAGCAGGAGGCGGAGTCTCTAAGCCTCCTCCTCTAAGCCCTGCCTCCTCCTCTAAGACCCTCCTCCTCCTCTAAGTCCCGCCTCCTCCTCTTCTAAGCCCCGCCTCCTCCTCTAAGCCCCGCCTCCTCCTCTAAGCCCCGCCTCCTCTCTAAGCCCCCTCCTCCTAAGCCCGCCTCCTCCTCTAAGCCCCACCTCCTTCAGTTCTCCTCCACTCAGGGGGATCCATTTGATGAGGTAGGAGATGACGTCATCCGCCGCCGCGTCCCAGCGCACGGTGAGGTCACCGAGGTCACCGCCCGAGAAGTTGGTGACCCTGAGGTCAGAGGGCGCGGGAACCTTCACTGGAGAGAGAGAGAGAGAGAGAGAGGGAGAGGAGGGAGGGAGAGAGAGAGAGAGAGAGAGAGAGAGAGAGAGAGAGAGAGAGAGAGAGAGAGAGAGGGGGGAGAGAGAGGGAGAGAGGGGGGTCAGGGAGGGCATCTGACACATTCTGACCCACGTTGTGGCTGTGGGAGGGCATCTGGCGTCTTACGTGTGGTGACGTTGCCGACGGCGGCCGCAGACTCGCCCTGAGGGAACAGAGACCGAACGGACACCTGGTACTGAGTCAAAGACCAGAGGTTCTGGACCAGGACCGAGTCCAGACCTGAGACCTCCACCTGAAACACACACACACACACCTTTAATACACACACACACAACACACACTTTAATACACACACACACCACACCTTTAATACACACACACACACACACACACACACACACACACACACACACCTTTAATACACACACACACACACACACACACACACACACCTTTAATACACACACACACACACACACACACACACACTTTTAATACACACACACACACACACACACACCTTTAATACACACACACACACACACACACACACACACACACACACACACACACACACTTTAATACACACACACACACACACACACACACACACACACGCTCTAGTCTCTGACAGAAATGATCAGGTTCAAAAATTGTGATTTGACAAAGACTCAACAGACTGAACAAGACTGATCGACTGAGACTGATCAAAGACTGATCGAAGACTGATCGACAATTGATCAAACACAAAGGACGTGTGTGTAAAGGCGCCGTATCAAACTGAAACTTTCTTCTTATTCTTATCATTGACAGTGAGTTTCACCTGCCGGACGTCGCTGCCGTGGTTGGTGCTCAGGGTGATGCGGTGCCCGGGCACCTGCCCGGCACCTGCCGTCCAGCTCACCCTCACCCGGCTGTGGGTCACCAGAGGGAAGGAGAGAGAGTGAGGGGGGGGGAGGGGCACTGAGGACAGAGAGACAGAGACGTCAGGTAAAGAACAACAACACCTGTCTGACCCTCACCTGCCACCTCCTCACCTGTCTGACCCTCACCTGTCTGTCTCTCACCTGTCTGTCACCTGTCTGTCTCTCACCTGTCTGTCTCTCACCTGTCTGTCTCTCACCTGTCTGTCCCTCACCTGTCTGTCTGTCCTCACCTGTCTGTCTGTCTGTCACCTGTCTGTCTCTCACCTGTCTGTCTCTCACCTGTCTGCCCTCACCTGTCTCACCTGTCTGCACCTGTCTGCTGTCTGTCTCACCTGTCTGTCCCTCACCTGTCTGTCTGTCTCACCTGTCTGTCTCTCACCTCACCTGTCTGTCCCTGTCTCACCTGTCTGTCTGTCTCTCACCTGTCTCACCTGTCTGTCCTCACCTGTCCTGTCTGTCCCTCTCTCACCTGTCTGTCTCTCACCTGTCTGTCTTGTCTCTCACCTGTCTGTCCCTCACCTGTCACCTGTCTGTCTGTCTGTCTCTCACCTGTCTGTCTCTCACCTGTCTGTCTCTCACCTGTCTGTCTCTCACCTGTCTGCCCTCACCTGTCTGTCTCTCACCTGTCTGTCTCTCACCTGTCTGTCTGCCCTCACCTGTCTGTCCCTCACCTGTCTGTCTCTCACCTGTCTGTCTGTCTGTCTGTCCTCACCTGTCTGACCTCACCTGTCTGTCTGTCTGTCTCACCTGTCTGTCTTCTTCACCTGTCTGTCTTCTCACCTGTCTGTCTCACCTGTCTGTCTCTGTCTCACCTGTCTGTCTGTCTGTCTCTCACCTGTCTGTCTCTCTGTCACCTGTCTGTCACCTGTCTCACCTGTCTGTCCCTGTCACCTGTCTGTCTCTCTGTCTCTCACCTGTCTGTCTCACCTGTCTGTCTGTCTCACCTGTCTGTCTCTCACCTGTCTCTCACCTGTCTGTTGTCCCTCACCTGTCTGTCTCTCACCTGTCTGTCTCACCTGTCTGTCTCTCACCTGTCTGTCTCCTCACCTGTCTGTCTCACCTGTCTGTCTCACCTGTCTGTCTCTCACCTGTCTGTCTCTCACCTGTCTGTCTCTCTCACCTGTCTGTCCTGTCTGTCTCACCTGTCTGTCTCTCTCACCTGTCTGTCTCTGTCACCTGTCTGTTTCTCACCTGTCTGTCTCTGTGTCACCTGTCTGTCTCTGTCTGTCACCTGTCTGTCTCTCACCTGTCTGTCTCTCTGTCTGTCTCTCACCTGTCTGTCCCTCACCTGTCTGTCTCTCACCTGTCTGTCTCTCACCTGTCTGTCTCTCACCTGTCTGTTTCTCACCTGTCTGTCTCTGTCACCTGTCTGTCTCTCTCGTCTGTCTGTCTCTCACCTGTCTGTCTCTCACCTGTCTGCTCACCTGTCTGTCTCTCACCTGTCTGTCTGTCTGTCTCTCACCTGTCTGTCTCTCACCTGTCTGTTCTCTCACCTGTCTGTCTGTCTGCTCACCTGTCTGTCTCTCACCTGTCTGTTTCTCTGTCTGACCTGTCTGTCTCTCTGTCTCTCTCACCTGTCTGTTTCTCACCTGTCTGTCTCTCTGTCTCTCACCTGTCTGTCTCTCACCTGTCTGTTTCTCACCTGTCTGTTTCTCTGTCTGTCTCTCACCTGTCTGTCTGTCTCACCTGTCTGTCTCTCACCTGTCTGTTTCTCTCACCTGTCTGTCTCTCACCTGTCTGTCTCTCTGTCTCTCACCTGTCTGTCTCTCACACTGTCTGTCACCTGTCTGTTTCTCAACCTGACCTAATCTTTTCTTTAAATATAAAGATTTGAACAGTTTGGGTCAAATGACCTGAGCAGAACCACAAACCCCTGAAATGTTCCGCAGTTCAGCATTTTCCACATCCGTCTGCAGAGCATCTGTCTGTTTACATTTATTATTTTGACCATTTTTACCAACATCAAAAACCTGCACATGTACAACCACTTTTTTTTTTTTATTTATTATTTATTTTATCTCTCTTGAAAAACCTGCATTTTCTTCATGATGAATAAAAACCAGAACTAAACCAGGACCAGTCCAGGACTAAACACCAGTAAACCAGGACCAGCCCAGGACCAGCCCAGGATAAACCAGGACCAGCCCAGGGACCAGCCCAGGACTACAGATGGACTGTGTGTACTCACAGGTGTATACAGTATATATACAGTAAACATATGTATATTTCGTACGTGTCGTGGCTCGGGCAGTGAGCAGTGTATATATTTATACATGTATATAAGTATATATAGAGTATATATATATAAAGTATATAAAGTATATATATATAGAGTATATAAAGTATATAAAGTATATATATATAGAGTATATATATATATAGTATATATATATAGAGTATATAAAGTATATATAAGTATATAGAGTATATAGAGTATATAGAGTATATAAAGTATATAAAGTATATATAGAGTATATAAAGTATATAGAGTATATAAAGTATATAAAGTATATATAAAGTATATAAAGTATATATAGAGTATATAGAGTATATATATATAAGTATATATATAGAGTATATAAAGTATAT